GTTCATAGTTCTGTAACGCACATTTGTGTGTAAATGTAAAGTAATATTGGGGATATAGATTATCGGGAACTTATCGATCGACCCAAGATAAAGGTTAAATCGGCCGATTTATCTTATCGGTCAGAGACACCGGTAAGCAATAAATTGGCTGATATCTTGAACAGTAGTGTAAACTGCATGCATCTGTTCTAACTTCCTTCTCTTCCTTAGGATTCTGAGCCACCTCTCCACGTCTCCACGTCAGAGGGCATGCGTGCCTCTGATCACGGGAGTAGTTAGAGGCTCCTCCTATATGTAAGTGTAACATGTACTGCAGTGAATAACGGATATAGTTTGCACAGATCTCTCTTCTACTCCAACGCGCACCATGCCTTCCCCCTCCGTCAACCCGGAACATGGCGAGGTCAGCACAGACGAAATCCTCGCCCCCTACGCTGCCATGCCAACGAGAGCCACGGGCGCCGAGGGCTTCGCCTCCTTCCTGCGCACCCATGGCGAGGTGGACGCGCTCTGCGAAAAGTACGGCGTACCAAAGGATCAGTACACCGCGCACCCCGCCGGCGACCTGCGCGCGAACTCGACGCCGCCACCGGGGGCCATCTGCGTGTACGCGGGCGCACTGGAGGCCGGCATGCGCGTCCCGCTGCAGGGCTTCTTCCGCGAGGTCCTCGCCCACTTCGGCATCTCGCCTGCCCAGCTCACGCCCAACGGGTGGCGCGTCATGGAGGGCTTCCTGGTGCTCTGCGACTCCGCCGACGTGCCTCCGTCGCTCGCGGTGTTCCGGCGCTTCTTCCACCTGTCCGTCTACGACCGAAGGCACAAGAAAGGATGGTACTTCTTCGTGTCCAGGGGGGGCAGCTCCAGCTTGCGCTTCACGGGGATGCCCAACCGGAATTCCAAATCCATCGTGGGCTGGAAACACGACTTCTTCTTCCTCTCGACGCCGGCGCCGTGGCATTGCGCGGTGGATTGGGGCGAGCCGCCCAAGCGCTCCTTCGGAAACCCGGCGCTCACCGTTGAGGAAAACGAATCGGCGGTGAAGCTGCTAGGTGCTCACGGTGGCGCCGCTGTTGATCTCAGGAACCTGCTCCCTGCTACGTGCCCATGGCAGCGCCGCTATCCCTGCAAAACCAACCTTGCTGTCGCCGCATCCCCGCCGCCGCCGCCTTCTTCAAGTCGTACTACTTCCCGTTCTAAAGGCATGCATCCCTCTGTTCATGATATGTTGAAGATTATGCCGGCGGAGAAGGCGGCCGCGTCGGCGTCGGCGAAGAAGAGGACTTGGGAGGAAGCCAACGGCGGGGAGGAGGTTCCGCCTCTTTCAGTTCTGTCCTGTGTGCACTCGCCACCGCCACAGCACTTCCCCAGCAGACACAACGGACACACCACAGACCGGGAGGCTGCACGGGAGCTGCTGCAGGGCGCCACCGAGCCGCCGCTGGAGCGCGTGTTCGCGGCGAACGAGCCATCAGATACCATGGGAAATCGGGCTGCCGACGACGCAGCGATTCGTCAGGTATTGCCAGCGAATACCATGGGAAATCGTTACATTGACGCAGTCCAATCGATCTTACTGTTGTGTTCAGGATGCGAACTACGCGCTCGAGCTGGAGAAGAAGCTGGTGGCCAGGGAGCGCGAGGCCGCGGCGCTGCGGAAGCAGTTGGAGGAGGCGAAGAACGAGCTCGCCTCGGCAAAGAGAGCGGCGGACGCGGAGCGGGAGAAGGCTAAGTCCGAGCTCGCCGCGGCGGGAACAGAGCTGGAGACGACCAAAGCCGAGCTCGCCGCGGCCAAGCGAACGGCGGAGGCGGAGCGGGTGCAGACGAAGGCCGAGCTCGCCGCGTCTCTGGCGGATGTGGTGAAGACGAAGGGCGAGCTCGCCGTGACAAAGCAAGCGGTAGCCGAGGCAGTGAAGACGAAGGCCGAACTCGCCGCCGCGAAGCGAGCCACCGAGACGGAGGTGGCGAAGGCGAACGCCGAACTCGCCGCGGCGAACCGGGCCGTGGAGGCGGAGCTGGTGAAGGCGAAGGCCAAGCTGGCCACGGCGGAGAAGGAGCTGGACAGCGCCAAGGCGGCGGCCGCGGTGCGGGAGCTTCTGGCCTCCGAGGAGAAGGTGCGGCGGCGCGCGGAGCTCGCGCTGGAGGGGTACGAGCGCTGGCGAGGCCGTCACGCTCCGGCTGGCCGTGCCGCTTGAGGAGCCCGTTGATCGTTTCTTTTGGAAGTCACATTGCTCGTTGGTCGTTTTCCTCTATGCAATTTCGTAACGCAGAACGATTCTATCCTTGAGACCACCAAATTTTGTAGCTGCAGTTTCCTCAGATACACAATGCAGCAATGGCTGCTGTGTGGCTTTGTTGTTCCATACTCAGAGACAACCGAGTACGCGGGCAAATGAAACAAAAACGTTTTGCTTAATGTGTGTTCAGCAGACATCTACGAAGCTGCAAACATCTTTAGCATCTCCCTAAGCACCTTTCATTATACAAGGCCTTAGAGAAATAAACCAGACTTTTCTTAAACACAGGTGCTTATTTGTACAGGATAGACGCTTAACTAAGCGTCTCTTCTTTAGAAATAGGCACCGGTGCTTCAGGAAAAACCGAATTATTTTAATAAGCATCTCTCTAAGCACCTCCCATTGTACATGGCCTAAGCGCTTGTAATCGGCTGTTTTTTGAGTGCATGAACATTCATTTTTAGTCATGTTGGTTGGATGTGGATTGCCCGCTAAACGCATTTATCTCGTGTAAAAATATGCGGGGCAGATGTGGGCTTTCCACCTATACTATGCTGCGGATGTTGGACGGATACAGGCTTCCAGGGGCAGTCCCACTTGTAGCCTAACGGCAACGTCAGCAACTACCACTCCGGATGATCACTGCAGTTGCTGTTTACCAAGCGGGAAACTCTAAAAAACATAGTATGGTGTCGGGATTAGAAGACATTTGTTAAAACAAATTTTGAAAGTTTTTTTTGGCAAATTGTGAACAAATTTGAAATGTCGAATATATTTGAAAACGCAAGCAGTTTTAAATTTCGAAAAACATAATTTTTCAAATGTGAAAAAATTTGTAGTTCTGAAAATTGTTTGAAAAATAAGAACAAAATTTAATATTCCAAACAATTATTTCACGAACAAATTTTAGAACATGAACAATTGTTAAAAATCCCTGAACAGTTTAAAGTGTGGGCACATTTCAAAATTCCCTTTTTTGAAACACAGGAACAATTTAGTTTAGTTTTATTTTAATCATAAATTGTCAAAAAAGTTGCACCATTTTAAAATGTTGACATTTGAAAAATGTTCATGCATTTCAAAAGAATTTTCATGATGTTTGTATTACAAAAAGTTTCCTCACATTCAAACAAATATTTGGGGCAATTTTTTTAAAAGAAACTTCACGCACTAAAACAACTCATGACATTTCCTAGAAAAACATTATGCAATATAAAAAAATGTTTGCATATTGTTTTTTGAAAAGTTTCATGCCATTTAGAAAAATAATCAGCAGGAATTTGAAAAATGTTTACCATATATTCTAAAAAATGATCGGGTCAGTATTTGAAAATATTCATCATGTACTTAAAAAAATGTTCAAGGCGTGTTTAAAAAATGTTCCCCGTGTATACCAAAGAATATACATTGTTTATTACAAAAGTTCACATGTATTTGCAAAAAAATACTACTAGATAGGGGTACTGGGTTGGGGAAGGAGTTGTGTGCCGAGAGTGGATATGCAACTGCGTCGGGCATGAGTTGCATGTTTGGGTCGGACATGGAACTGGGTTGGGTTGTTTTGCGTGTTGGGGTTGGACATGGAACTAGATATGGGTCGAGGCAAGTTGCATGTTGGGGTAGGACATGCAACTATATCGCACGAGTTGCCTGTTAGGGGTGAACATGCAACTGAGACAAGAAATATGTTGGGCCCCAGTTACGTGTCGATGGTGGACATGCAGCTGAGACAAGAAAAAAAAGCCCCCCCCCCCCTAATTACAATTCGCGTAAAGTCACAACTGGGAAAATATGTTTGCCCCCTAGTTGCGTGTCGAGGTGAACTTGAAAATTATGAAAAAAAAGGAAAAGGAAATAGAAATGAAGAAAATAAAAATACAAAACGAGATCAACTTTTGGAAAAATAAGAAAAAGGAAAAACATTGAAGAAAAATAAATAAATAAACAGAAAATTTGTGAAGAAAACAAAGCAAAAAAATGTATCCTATCTACTTGGACCGGCCCATCTGCGGTTTGCTTGTCGTTCGCGTGTGTAAAGCAGCAGTGAGCGGTTTATAGGGATTTTGGTTTGTTTGACCAAGCCTACGTGACACTCCATCATGTATTTAAAAATGTTTTACTTGTATTAAAAAATCTTAATCATGTATTTAAAAATAATTTGTCATAATGGTTCCTCCAAGAGCTTTCGCCTTCCTCTTCTGAAAAACATTGCTTTCACGGTGAAACAAACAGTTGTAGAGGAAAAGAAAAGGATAATGTTCCTCTCTAGTAAACGCATATAGTGGCCTTTGTGGATGGGACAAATGCTCCAGTGTGTATGCGTTACAAGGCAACTAGCATTTTGTTATGGAAGATCATGAAAGAATGTTTTGTTTTTTGTTGGAAATTTTTTGGACATGCAATTACCCTCCAACAACGCTAATTCCACAACAAGACCCAACCATGCTGAGTGGCAGTAGCATTGAAGGCGTGCAATGCAATCAGGGGGCAACAATTGTAGTTTTGAATCGAGGGTGGGATGAAACAAACTATTGCCCAAGCTGCGAGTCAAAGGTGGACTTGCAACTAGGATGAACACTAAGCATATGCCTAGTTGCGATTCGAGGGTGGGCTTACAATCGGGAGAACTACGAGATAAGTTGCGAGTCGAGGATGGACTTACAACAAGCCCAGTTGCGAGTCAAGTGTGGACTTGCAATTGAGATGACAGATAAAACTCAGGCCCAATTATGATTCAAGGGTAGGCTTGCAACTTGGATAAAACAAAACTATGGACCTAGCTGCGAGTTGAGGGTGGACTTACAACTGAGATGAAAAACAAAAAAAACATGGCCAGTTGCGAGTCGAGGGTGGACTTGCAACTGGGAGAACAACAAGTTATGGGCCCAGTTGCGCGTCAAGGATGAACTTGCCACTGGGACAATAATAAATTGTGGTCTAGGTTGCCAGTCGAGGGTGGACTTGCAACTGGACTACAACAAAACTCGAATCCCTATTACAAGTCTAGGATGGACTAGAAATTAAGACAACTATGAAATAACAAGACCAGGTACTTGAAGGAAATATGCCCTAGAGGCAATAATAAAGCTATTACTTTATATTTCCTTATTCATGATAAAGGTTTATTATTCATGATAGAATTGTAGTGATTGGAAACCTTAATACATTGTGTGAATACATAAACAAACAACGTGTCCCTATTGAGCCTCTACTAGACTAGGTCGTTGATCAAAGATGGTTAAGGTTTTCTAACCATGGACATGAGTTGTCATTTGATAACGGGATCACATCATTAGGAGAATGAAGTTATGGACAAGACACATCCGTTAGCTTAGCATAATGATCATTCAGTTTTGTTGATATTGCTTTCTTCGTGTCAAATACATATTCCTTCGACTATGTGATTATGCAACTCCTGGATACCGGAGGAATGCCTTGTGTGCTCTCAAACGTCACAATGTAACTGGGTGATTATAAAGATGCTCTACAGGTATCTCCGAAGGTGTCTGTTGAGTTGGCATAGATCAAGATTAGGATTTGTCACTCCGAGTTTTAGAGTGGTATCTCTGGGCCCTCTCGGTAATACACATCATAAGCTTGCAAGAAAACAACTAAGGAGCTAGTCACGAGATGATGTATTATGGAACGAGTAAAGAGACTTGCCGGTAACGATATTGAACTAGGTATGAAGATACCAACGATCGAATCTTAGGCAAGTAACATACCGATGGACAAAGGGAATTACATATGTTATCATAACGGATCTACCGATAAAGATCTTCGTAGAATATGTAGGAGCCAATATGAGGATCCAGGTTCCGCTATTGGCTATTGACCGGAAAGGTGTCTCGGTCATGTCTACATAGTTGTCAAACCCGTAGGGTCCGTGCGCTTAACGTTCGATGACGATATAGTATTATATGAGTTATGTGATTTGGTGACCGAATGTTGTTCAGAGTCTCGGATGAGATCACGGACATGACGAGGAGTCTCGAAATGGTAGAGAGGTAAAGATTGATATATAGGACGATGGTATTCGGACACGAGAAGTGTCTTGGAGGGTGCCGGGTACATATCGGGTCACCGGAAGGGGTTCCAGGCACCCCCGGCAAAAGATATGGGCCTTATGGGTCAAGAGGGGAAACGCACCAGCCACAAGGGGCTGGTGCGCCCCCCATATGGGCCGGCCTAAGGAGGGGAAGGAAAGGGGAGAAGGGAAAGGAAAGTGTGGATTAGGATTCCCACTTCCTTCCCTCTCCCCCCTCTTTCCTTCTCCCTCGGTTAAATATGGCAGGGGGCGCTACTTGGGGAGGACCCAAAGTAAGATTCGACCTACTTGGGGCGCCTCCCCTCTCCCTCCCACCTATATATATGTTGGGTGAGGCACCTAGCACACACCAGACAATTGCCTAGCCGTGTGCGGCGCCCCCCTCCACCGTTTACTCCCCCCGTCATATTTTCATAATGCTCAGGCGAAGCCCTGCGGAGATCACTTCACCATCACCGTCACCACGCCGTCGTGCTGATGGAACTCATCTACTACCTCGACGTCTTGCTGGATCAAGAAGGCGAGGGACGTCACCGAGCTTAACGTGTGTAGAACTTGAAGGTGATCACAAAGAAAGTCTGACTACATCAACCGCATTGTGAACGCTTCCGCTTACGGTCTACGAGGGTGCGTAGACATACTCTCCCCCTCGTTTCTATGCATCTCCATTTTTAGATCATTGCGTGTGCATAGAATTTTTTTTGTTTTCCATGCAAATATTCCCAACAGTGGCATCATGAGCTAGATCTATACGTAGATGATATGCACGAGTAGAGCACAAAGAGTTGTGGGTGATGAAAGTCATACTGCTTACCACCAACGTCTTATTTTGATTCGGTGGTATTGTGGGATGAAGCGGCCTGGACCAACCCTACATGTACACGCACATGAGACCGGTTCCACCGACTGA